TACTCCACAACGACGTTGCTCCCGCAACCTGGGACCGGGCTGCCTGACCTTTATCTTCTTCTAAGGCCGGGGGCGGTCCCGGCCCCCAGAAGCCCCGCCTCTCTTGGCCTTAAGGCGAGCACTCCTCCTGGGAGACACCAGTTCCCTTCGCCTCTCTGCCCTAAGCCTCTGCAGTTCAGGAGAGGCCAAAGGGTTACTGGGCCCCGGGGGAGGCTCACCTGTAGACACTGAGTCCTCCAGCACCTCTGGGGCCAGAATGGTTTCACCTGGTGCCTGCTCTTGAGGATCTGGCACAGGTGCAGGCTCCTCAGCATCTAGGCCTTGCCCCAGTTCAGCCGGCCCTGGAGGCAGGGACTCCTGTGCCGGCTGGGATTCCTCCGGTTCGCTCTCAGACTCGGAATCCCAGGCCATCACAGAAAGATTCAGAACGTAGCTGGACATCAAACCACAATATCTGTGTAATCAATTCATATATTAAAATTATTTTCTAAAGTTTCTTTTGGCAATATTGTTCAGTAATTGTTTTGAAATGTTGAATAAAATTCTAGTCCATCTCCTTGATTCTCTCTTGGTATCTCTCCATTTGAAAAATCTTTGTAGTAAAAGCAAGCCATATTTTTGTCCTGCCCTTCCTGTTTTACTTCAAATATCCTTTTCCATCTTTGAAAATTTAACATACACGTGTGTATATGTGTGTATGAAAATTAATAAAGAGAAATTTAAAAAAAGAAAAGAAAATTTAACATACAGCGGTACCTCGGGTTAAGTACTTAATTCGTTCCGGAGGTCCGTTCTTAACCTGAAACTGTTCTTAACCTGAAGCACCACTTTAGCTAATGGGGCCTCCTGCTGCCGCCGTGCTGCCGGAGCACAATTTCTGTTCTCATCCTGAAGCAAAGTTCTTAACCCAAGGTACTGTTTCTGGGTTAGCAGAGTCTGTAATCTGAAGCGTATGTAACCTGAAGCGTATGTAACCTGAGGTACCAGTGTATTTGTCTTCTTCATAACAATGTAAGGTAGACCTTGCCAGTACTCAGCCATTGTGTATGATGATGTCACTGTTGGTTGCCATTTTAAGTAGCTTCTTAATGGGTTTTGTGAATGCTTGATGTGTGAGAAGCAATCTGCAAACTAAGGTAGAACAGCAACATTGTTGGTTGTTAATATGTCTCTACAAGCCTTTTAAATGAAGGTCACTTCCAGTCTGCCTTTCTATTGGGGTGTTGTTGTTTTTTAAATTATCATTTGTGTGTTTGCTACCCTGGCTCCTTTGAGTGGGAGAGGGGGATATTAAAAAAAAAATAACAACAACAACATCCCAAAGACTTTGGACCACATATTAAAAATGATGTGTTTGGCTTCTTTGAGAGTATCAGCATTGTAAAATTAATCAAAATGTGGTGAGAACTCTGGTGTTTAATTTTCTTTTTCTTTTTTTTAGGTGTGCATCATACTTTTGACAATATTAAAGAAATGCAGGTAACATTAATTTTAGTATTTGGGGAAATGGCTTTGGTCTGTCCATGAAGACTTTCTGGAAACTTCAAGTCATCTCAAATTCATCTCTCAGGGTTTTGTCTGGGACCAGCTGATGGGTTGACATTACACTGTCAGCTTCACTTTGTCCTTTTTTTCTGGGCTCAATGCAAAACTCTGACTTTGTCCATTACAGCAAGAAAAAGCTGGTGGGGTCGGGGGAAGCACCTAAAGTGAACAAAAAAAAGGAGAACAGGCCCTGGTGCTCACTAGTACAAAACTGTTGTAATTTATTTTGCCATTTTATGAGAAGCTGCACCTGCTGTAATTCCCACTTCCATGCAACTATGAAAAGTGCAGGAGCCCTGACCAGTGTTATATGGTCCCAGAGCCCTGACATCTCTTTTTCCTGGGAACCCTAGTTCAGGACGTGGCAAAGAGGTTGTCTGGGAGTGAAGGAAGGCAAGGTGTCTGTGAGGCAAGGTAATTCAGATTGTCTTGGGGCTGTTGAGGGCTCTTCCATTCTCCCAGCTGTGGTGAGATTTTCCACAAGGTGCCATGCCTCACCCTCAGAGGAAGTCTCCCTGGGGTTTTAATTGGGCAGGATCCTGACACCTGGCCATAGTTTTTATTTTCTTCCTGTGTTAAATATGTTGATATCAATTACACCCTGGCACATGGGGCTTATTTGGACATATGCCAAATGATGGGAAATCTTGCTGTTGCAGTGAAGTAACAGTCATCTGGGAATGACTAGGGTTCTTACTTATTTTGCAGATCGCTCTGAACCCAACTATGACTGTGCAGATTTCATCAGAGACAGCAGACAATCTTCAAGCTCTAGGTAAGCACTCATCTTTTACTTTTCCACAACACCTTTGAAAATCCTTGCTACAGAATCATTTTGAAAGGTCCATTTCAGAGAAGCCAGTCACTAGAGAAATGGATCGTTGTCTCTGTTTCCATGTTCTAAAACAAGGAACATCAGTTCTAGGCAGAACAAGACCTATGACCCAACGCTGTGCAACACATGGGTTGTGGTTTGCTGCAGTGTAGAGTGGGCCTTAGAAACTGTTGCACTTATAGAGTAGGAGAAAGTGAGCAAGAGATGGGTCCATTTGTGGTTTACATGACCTCATTTTCTGCTTTACAGAACCTTCTCATATATTTGAAGTGGAAACAACAAACGAAGAAGAGAAGACTTTGAATAACCTTGTAGGCCTTTTGCAAGATATGGTGAAAAATATTCCAACAGCATCAGCGCAAGCACAAACACCAAAACCAACAGAAACAGCAACTATCGTAATATCCCACCCAGAGCCTTCCCACCCAGAGCCTTCTCCATCTGAAGCAGTGGGCACCGTTTTGCTAAACCTGAATACAAAGACTGAGGGAATACAAGTAGAGTCGTTGGAAACAGTTGCCCTGATCAGTGAAAATACCCCAACTACCTCAACAGCATTTTGGGACCTCCGAAATGACGCAGGTGCATCAGTCGTTTTACATTCTGATATAGTCACTCCGGAAGGAAATACTGAAGAACAAACTGAGACAAGTGTATTTAATTCTGCTGAAACTACTCCAGATCAATCACTGGTCAGTGTGTCATTTTTGTTGGAAACTGATACTACCACGCAAAAAGCTATGACTTTTGATCAGCTAACAAATGGAGCTTTGGCAAGTCTGGTGGAGTCTCTAAGGAACGTGAGAAAAATGCATGTGAAACTAACTCATACCAGTAATGAACCAAAACACAGTGAAACTTCTGTGACACAATCCCCAGAGAAGTCTGTAAGTGCAGAAATCTTGGAGTTGATTGACAGACTCATTGAAACCATTAAGAATGCACCTAGCGCAGTTATAGAAGATCCAGCTCTCAATACCTATCTTGGAAAAGCAGAGAGCTACCTAAAAAGTGCTCTGGAACTAGCGGGTGAAGCAGAGAAGAGGTTGGGAAAGGGAAAAGCAGAGGAGGTGATGGAAGTAGTGATTCCTTCCACAGGGTCCGAGAACGTGACAGTGGTGATTCCTTCCATGGAGGCTGAGAATGTGACAGTGGTGATTCCTCCCTCAGAGTCCGAGAAGGTGACAGTGGTGTTTCCTCACACAGAGTCTGAGAACGTGCCAGTGGTGATTCCTCACACAGAGTCTGAAAAAGTGACAGTGGTGATTCCTCACACAGAGCCTGAAAAGAAGGTGGAAGCGCAGGGTCCTCCCTCGGGCCAGGAGTGGGTGGAGACAGAGAAGAAGGTGGAAGTGGTACTTCCTCCCTTGCCATCAGAAACTGTGCCTGTATCGACAGTGGCAGTCCAGTTGCCTGCATCTCCATCTGAGTCTGTAGCAGAAAAGGCAGAAGAGGCACAAGTGGAAATGGGGAAGTTAAAAGCATTCATTAACTTGCTATATGGTTTTAGTCCCCACCTAACTGCATATGCACAGAATTCGGCCAATAAAAAAGTTGGTGAGGACATTGTTGATAGAGCAATGGCAGTCCTTCATGCCATAAAAAGCATTTTCTGTGGAAATCCTGAAGGGCAAAGCAAACTGATGTTGCAGCAGTTGTTAAAGGAAGACATGGAGCTTGTAAGACAAGCCATGAAGGAAAAAAGAGTCTCTTAAGAAGACACATTTGTTTCTTGGTTAGGGTAGATATTTTTCATCCAAGTTATGTATCACTAGAAATCAGTTTTGTTGTTTGTAAGAGCCATTTACATATATACATATATATCCATCGTTTGTAGCCCTTTCCAAATCTAGAATTAAATGCTTATTTTTAAATATTTTTGTTTTCATTTTTCATCCTCAGTTTGAATTGATATTCAGGATACTCACTGTGGAGTGTGAGTTTATATTTAAGATAATTTAAGTCACCAGTTAAGGTTTAATGTGAAAGGTTATTCAAGGGACCAACTGAGTTAAGGCACAAGGTTATTACAGAAGCTGGTTTTCACCAGAGAAAGGAGTATATGTACTTCTTTTAAATGTCCTTTTCCCTCCCATGTCTAAAATAATGTTTTACAGTGCAATCCTGTGCATGTTTAATTGATTGCTTTTTAACATGTTTTTAAGCTGTTTCTATTCTAGTTGTAGGGACACGGGTGGCGCTGTGGGTTAAACCACAGAGCCTAGGACTTGCCGATCAGAAGGTCGGCGGTTCGAATCCCCGCAACGGGGTGAGCTCCTGTTGCTCGGTCCCTGCTCCTGCCAACCTAGCAGTTCAAAAGCACATCAAAGTCCAAGTAGATAAATAGGTACCGCTCCGGCGGGAAGGTAAGCGGCGTTTCCATGCGCTGCTCTGGTTCGCCAGAAGCGGCTTAGTCATGTTGGCCACATGACCCGGAAGCTGTACGCCGACTCCCTCGGCCAATAAAGCGAGATGAGCGCCGCAACCCCAGAGTCGGTAACAACTGGACCTAATGGTCAGGGGTCCCTTTACCTTTATTCTAGTTGTAAGCCACCTTGAGTCCCAACAGGAGAAAAGGCAGGTAATGATGATGATAACAGCAGCAGCAGCAGCAGCAACACAATATAAGGCACTTCTTGCCTTCAGAGGTCACCATAGCAGTGTGGTGGTGGTGATATAAAAAGAGTTTTCTCAATGGATCAGACAAGGTCCATGTAGTCCAGCACCCTGATCTAGCAGTGACCAGATACGCCAGGAAGCTCACAAGTGTTTTTGCTGGTAATGACCATTTCTTGTTGCTTGCCCCTTGTGTTTGGAAGTGAGGTATTTTGCCTCTATAGATGTAGGTTCCATTTTTTAGCTTTACTAGCCAAGAGTCATCAATAGATCCAGTCTATGTGGATTGGCCTCATGGTTTCGTTTCTAAATAATGTTGCTAGTGGTCATTGCTACATCTTTCAGCAAAAATCCCTGTAAGAACTGTGCTTTATATGAAGATGGTAGACAAGAGTGGAAGGAGGATATGAAAACTAACAAAATGTAGCGCAAAGGCAATAAAATTCCAGAAGAATGAAATATTCCTGGCAGTAATGGAAGAGCTATATGATCCCTCTCCCCCCCAAAAAGTCTATGATCATGTGGAATTCTGATTGTTTAAATTCTTTCTCCTTTGTTACTCAAATGAATAGTGGAAACAAATAGATTTAAATAGGTTACAGTTTGTCCTACTACTTACAAAAGGTTTCATGGACAAGAAGAGGCTAGTCATTATGCTTTTGTTTCTGCATACAGCTAGTCATCAACACCTGTTTCTGGGTTGTTGCCTAAATTAGAGCAGCCTTCTCTGTCTTGTTCAGAGTGCAGTCTGACTTGACTGTTCATCAGCAAAGAAGATACTAAATGTTGCATCTTAACAAATGGCATTTTCAGTATTCAAGTATGTTTAAAAAGTATGTTTAAAAATACTTTTTGTACCATAGGATCTCCTATGGTACACTAGGTTGCATCTTTTTTTATACTGAGTTAGAAAGTGCAAGAGATTCTGTAAACTGCTGGGAGGGGAAAGAAGTCTGAGGAACTAGACAAAGAAGTCTCTGGGACAGACGTTGCAGGTAACACACAGCTTTTTTTGTCTATCCCTGAAGTGTGTGGCTTGACTAGCTTGCATGAGTCTTTTGGAGTTACTCATTTTTATGGTCTATGCTCTCTGCTTTGATGTATATCATCATGTGAATTGCTAGATAAATCTGAGGCAAGGATGTGTGTGCTGATGAATGAATTGTCCTTCCTCTGGGCAAGGAGGTTAAATTAAATGACCCTTTTTGTCCCTACCCGTCCTGTGATTTGGGTGAGGTACATCATGAATATCTCATTTCATGATGTTTAAGGATGGTGGTTATTTTTGCCAAGGGAACTGGATCGTTACTTGGCCGTGAGAGTTAGCAGTTATGCTCAGTTGAAAGAGAACAAACTTATTTGAGACTTAAGTCAATGATACTGCATTAAATGGCATTCATGGTAACAGTCCTCCCCTGACTAATGTGATTTCCATCAAATTGCAGTCTGACAAAATGAGAGCAGCTAAGGGTGTATGTGTGCACATATTTCTGCAGTGTTTTTCAGTGTGCACAGAGCTATAATTCTTATAGCCACAGCAATCTTCCAAGGTAGGTTACATTGAGGCCCAGACTGACTACTCAGTGCATTTCATGACAGTAAACCTGCTTCTCTCATGCCACAACAAATCAACACTTGCCATATTATACCACTGGCGGCTCCTAATCTGGTTAAGTAAAATACACATATACATATACAATTTCTCCTTGAGGCTGGGCTTTACCTTCCAAAACAGGCAGCTTAGCTCTCTCACACATTACAGCATCTTTTCTGCATCAAAAAGAGAAAAATATAAGTAGCTTCCTTGCTGTTACCTGGTTTTGACATTCCCATAGCAACCCACCTCCAACTTTGGTGTCACAAGCTCACCCATCATCTGTTGCTTTACAAGCAGGATTCTGTTCAAAGATGAGTAAAAAGGCTGTGACATGAATGGGACATATTTTCCTGTGTGCTTCTGACAGCTAGAAAATAAAGGCACAGCATGACTCAGGTTGTGTGGACATGATCCAATCTTGCAAAGTTTAGGTACTTTAATTAATGTAAAGAAAAGACAGGTGTCATCACAATCAGCTGCATTTTAAATATAATGCAGCAATAAATAGCCAATCTCAAGCTGAGGATAATGCAGAAGAAAAAATTGTCATGAGATGAGACTCTTGATACTTAAACAAACAGGCAGAGGTTTAACCAAATTGGTTGGCTCAAATCTATGCAATAGGTAATAATACAGCTGCTTCTCTTAGCTATCACAGTGCCAAGCAAGAAGATTGTGTGTTTGTTTAGTCGCTCACAGATAAGGCACCATATAGTGTGATGATTTGGCACTAGCGTCACTGTCACTGAAAGTAACAAAAGAGTTCAGATCTGTAAGGGAAGGCTTGTGAAGTTCACCAAATGTGGCATCCACTTTTAAGTCCATGGGGCTTTAAGCACTCATGTGAGCAACCTGACCTGAGCCAAGGAACTAGTGCAGCTTTTTTGGAACAGAAATTGCATGTGTTCTAAATGGAATTGATTGGTGGCTGCATTTTGGCTCAGTTGAAGTTTCTGAGTCACCTTCAAGGGCAGCCCCACATAGAGCACATCCCAATAATTCAGTCTGTAACCTACCAGAGCATGGAGTACCATGGCCAAATAATTGCTGTCCAAAAGGGGACGTAGATGGCAAGCCAGGCAGAGCTGCAAATAAGCCACCAAGGGCACCTGACCCACCAGTGACAATGTTGCATCTAGGGATATCACCATCCTACTGGCCTGCTCCTTCCAAGAGAGTGCAGCCCATAGGACAATTCCCATGGCACTAAGCAATAGCCCCTCATAACAGCTTTCTGGGGGGGAAACTGCCTTGAAGTTAGGAGAAGAACCACTGCGATGCAGTGCCCCCAACCTGCACATCCCAGAGCCACTCCAGAAAGATACCGTGGTCAGTGTATCAAAAGGTGTGAATAGGCCAATGAGAACAAGCAGGATCCCACTCTCTCCACCTCTCTTGATGAAAGTCATCAACCTGGTAAAAGGAGACGCAATCTTCTCAGTCTCTTGAGATAGGTATGACTTCCAGGAAAGCACTCCAGGTACAAATGAAGGGCCATAACTCCCCTCAAAGCAGATTTCAGAGTTTGTTTAGTTTACTATTCTGCTTTTACCGGTGTGTGGATGCCATTCATATTTTCTGCCTACTATACTTTCTGGCAATAAAATCTTGAGCTCTTTGCTGTGACTAGGGTGCAATATCTAATTGCTCACAAAACACTGAATGACTGTCCCCTTTAACTAACATGTTCCGCCACACCTGAGATGGTTCCTTCACATTATGAAAACTATCTTTTACAATGCAAAGTTCAGATCAGAAATCTTAACCATCAGCCCAAAGTTGACTGCATATAAAAAAAATTAAAGGTCCTGCGGGTTTCCAATTTCTTAGCACCATGAACTTAGATGATGACACAAAGTGGCTCGAGTGGGTAGCCAAACAGTTTGAAAGTATCGCCGGAGAAGATAAAGAGATCGACCTGGAAGAATTCAAAGCTGCTCTCAAGGTGAAGGAGGCAAGTTTTGTCAAATGCAGGGACGCGGACTTATAAAAAATATTGGGGGGGCCCGGGAAAGCTCATGAATAATAAATAAGCTCATGAATATGCAAATAAAGTGGCGCCGCCTCCTCGTGAGCGAATAGGGGAGAGCGTGCTGCGCCTATTAATCAGCTCCAAAGGAAATTGGGTGGAGCTTTTGCTCGGGAGGGAGGGCAGGAGGCATGCAGCCCGCCCCTCCCTGTGCATTTTGGGCTGGGGGAGGGGCGGCGATGGCGCTCTGCTGGAGGGGCGCCGGAGATTATTGGGGGGGCGGAGCCCCCCCAAACGAATTTTTGAGGGGGCTCGGGCCCCCTCAAGCCCCATGGAGTCGGCGCCTATGGTCAAATGGGGTAGGAAACCCAATTGGGCTGAGGATTGTGACAATGCAACGATGTTTTTGCTTAGAACGGCCCCTGTGTGAGGAAATATTATGAAGATATTTGGCTTTGCCCCTTCTTTGGGAGGGAATTTGTGCATGCGTACCTGGAGATGCTTAATTGGGAATGGTGTGCAGAAGAAGGGAGGCTGATGGAGACCAGGAGGTCCTGGGCAGAGAAGGAGGGTTCTGAAGAGCAAAATCAGCAGTACATGTAAAGAATGGCAGAGAATGAAGGGTAGGCAGAAAACCTCATTGCAGGGCGGGGGGAGAATGCTGGCATCAGTAGGGACTGAATAAATAAGGGAATGTTGAAGATTGGGGGATTTGGGGCTAGGTCAGAGTGGGGGGCCCATTTTTCAGAACCTATTTTTAATAACCAGCCAGATCTCCCTTTATCTGAAAGTCCCCAGTTCACAAATATTTCAAGTACTCAATTGCTTCTATTGCCATAATATTGAAGCAAGGTCTAAATAAAGACTAGAGAGAAATTGAAGGGTGTGTGTGTCTGATTTCCACTCCTGGATTAACCCCCGCCCCCCAGTTGACTTTGCAAACATTTTCGCCCTCTCCTATAGTCCTTTTTCGCTGAGCGTTTCTTTGCTTTGTTTGACTTGGATGGAAGCGGCACCATCAGTTTGGACGAGCTGCTGGAGGCCTTGAAGCTGCTGGTACATGGAAGTGAAACAGACAAACTCCGGTTCCTCTTCCAAGTTTATGATGTGGACGGTAAAATTCCAAAACAGCACCCTTGTTCACTTGCATTTTGTCAAAACAAGATCATTGTTCTGCTCAGCATTGGCACTTTAGGGCAGTAACTACCAATGTTCCTGTCTTGGTCCATTCACATGGAATGGTAAACGACTACAGCAATGTTTTCTTATCAGATCAGTAATGTTTTTGTAACAGGCATAAATGTACCTTTTATTTTGGTGCAGAACTTTATTTCTGTTTTAGTGCCAGCATAACTTGATTACATCTCACTGTATCCTGAAAAAAGTATTCAGAAATTGTATCTAATCGTGGGCTATGAAATATGTTGGAGCATTTACAAGGCTAGCCCAGCATGTCCAAATCCATTGTGTTGGTTGTTTCTTCAGTGCATAAAAAAATGGTTATGAAAAAGTCCTCAGGGGTTTTTTTAGAGGCAAGAATATTCTAGTTAGACGTGATTTCATATTTGTGTGTGTGAGTTTGTCGTCGTTGGGCTTGCCTTTGTCACTACTGCCCATTCACACCACTGCTTCTCCTTGCACACCTGGAAACAACAGGTGAACAGGCAGCAACAGGAAGGAAAGGGAAGCAAGAAAAACGAGAACACCCCATGCCTCTCTGGGCCTCAGACAAGCTCTGCATGGGCCTGTGTTGCGGTAATCCAACCTAGAGGCTCCAACTGCCTTAAATCTGGCCTGTTGCAGATTAATTTATTTGATGCCGACTGGAGATCCTCTTCCACTGTAGGCAGTGGGTCCATTGAACCCGAAGAATTGCGTACGGTCTTGGAGTCATGCCTGAAGGAGAGTTCAATATCTTTGCCAGAGAAGAAGTTAGATGACCTCACGTTAGCCCTTTTCGAGTCGGCTGACTCTGACAACAGTGGGTCCATCACCTTTGAGGAGCTCAGGGAGGAACTGGAGCGCTTCCCAGAGGTCATGGAGAACTTAACCATAAGGTATTTCCTCTTCCACCTCCTAATCCAACTTTTCTCAACCCACCTAATGCCCTCCAGATGTTTTGGACAATTCCCACCACTCCCAGCATCATACAGTCATGCTGGCTGGGGTCCATGGGAGTTGTGGCATTAAAACAGCTGGAGAGCACCAGGTTGGGGAAGACTGTCCTAACCCCCTCTGTATCCTGTAACCCCAAATTACCCCCTGAAAATGCTGCTTCACTGTCCTCCAGCGGCAGTAAGGCAGCACCGGGGCTCCTTCATCCTCAGTTCCGTCTTACAATTCTTTCTGCCACTTACAGGAGGATCCATCCCATCAAACCAACAATTTTATTTTATTTTATTTTTTATTTACATCCCGCCTAATTTTCAAAAGAAACTCAAGGTCGGTAACAAATCCAGCCAACACAATGATATTGACATATATAAGAATCCCCGTTAAAACACCCAGCATGAGATTAAAACAGTAACACAAAACACCAAAACTACTGTAACAAATTCCAAAACAGCCATCGCAAAAAAGCATCAAAGAGAAATAAGAGAAAGAGAAAAATGTTATTGAAGGAAGGCCTTCTTGAAACAGGAACTCTTTTTTTTAACCACCTGCCTAAAATTATGCTGGGGCAGGGCCTGACATGCCTCGCTTTTCTTAATTTCTCTAGTTTTAGAAAGTTGTGAACCAATCAGAGCAAAAGCTTGGGCCAAAGAGCCTGGGAAATACCTGCAGCAGAAACAGAAGCAGAAAGAAGGTGGTGGTGTCAGGTTTCAGTTGCCATCTCTGCAGGCTGGGTGTCTGGGGCTCATGAGAGTTGCAGCTGCAAGCAGCTGGAGGGCACCATGTTGGGGAAGGCTGCTTTGAACCATTGACTCAGCCTAGACAGGCCATTTTCATAGGCAGCCTAAGAAATATTTTCCCCTTTGACACCTTGAAATGTTCTTGCCAGCAGCACCTGGGGTTTAGAAATAATTACCCACCCCTGCTTGCTTCCTAGGCGAAGAAACTCGCTCTGGGAACCTCTTTGAAGGAAAGTTGCACCCTTTTCCCTCAGCCGCAGCTGCCTGCATTCTCTTGGGGATGAGCTGCAGTCCCCTGCTATGTTTCAGCTCCTCGTAATTGGAACTCTTGAGCCTGCTGCTGCTGCTGTCAGCTGTCATTGCGGCGGAAATCTGCTGCGGCTTGCAACACTGGGGCAGAGAGGACTTCGGTTTCCTTAGCAGATGAAAAACAGCCAAAGCATCTTGTGGCACCCTAAAGATTAACGCATTTATTCCCGCAGAAGCTTTCATGGATGAGAGCCTGTTTCGTCAGATGTGCTTGGCTGTGGGTTCTGCCCAGCGAAAAGATGCCGCGATAAATCGGTTCCCATCTTTTAAAGGTGCCCCAAGTCTCTCTCGCTGATTCGGTTGCAGGGGAAAAACTAGAGCAGCTGTCCCTCCGGAATTCACAAAGGATCAGTGGTCGGAAGGAGAAAACTCCCTTTGGAAAAAGAGAAGGGCTGTATCTTTGTCTCTAGCTGCTTCCATGTTGGAGCCCTCTAGCGCTGCTGGGGTGTTGCTTTTCTGCAATTAACCAGAACCAAAATTAAAACTTAGTATAGCGCCATATTATCTAGCAGTAACCTCTCCTGTGGCCAAGACGGGCCCTTTGCTTACTCATAAGCAAGTCCCATTTATCATGGATTCTCAGCATCACGATTTGAGTGTTTTGTCCTTGCAGGTTCAGCCTGTTTTGTTGTTGGCTCCTGAGAGAGAGCCAGAGGGAAATTAGCAATGAATCGCCACTCTGAGCTATAGCCTCCGTGTCAGTTTCTTTTTCCAAAGCAGTGTCATGCCTATCCGTGACCTGGTGCCAGATGTGGAGTCATCGGAAGACAAAACAGACACCCCACAGGTCAATGACCTTGAGGAGCAGGCAGGTTCCCCTCTAGGGGTCCTCTGATTGATACCTGCTGGAGCTGTAAGAGCAGAATGCCAGCACCAAAAGCTCCATTTCCAAGCCAAAGTGCAATGGCATAGCACGCATCTATGGGCCCAGTGTGGGTTAGGAATCTCTTGTAAGGCATCCCTGAAACTCATTCAGTACCAGAAGTAGCTGCCAGGGTGATGTCTAGGATGCCAAAGTATGTAAGGTTGAGCCTTCTTGAGCCTTTCAGTTGCTGGAAGCAACACAGGTCTCTGGCTCCTTGCTTCTGAGTCTAGTTCCTTCTCTTTATACCATGCCTAAACTCCCTGTCATGCTAAATGTTAGACTGCTGCCTGACCTGGCCCCTGGATCATATTTTGGACCTAAACTGCTTGACCTTGGTTTGTCCAGACTGCAATACACCTGCAATCCTGCTTAAGGCAACTGGGCCCCAACCCCGGCTGGGCTGCACTGGAACATGGCAGTCCTGTGGCTATAGAGACCAATATGGGAGAGACATGTTTTGTTGCAACTGGGGCAGATGAAGGCATCTGGGTTTTGCTGCTGCAGATGCACCGTGGCATTTCTTCTCTCTGCGCTCCTCCCAGCAGTCATTCCTCCTCTGGTCACTGCTGAGGATGCATGATCTGTCTTCCAGGCACTGCAGTCGTCCGCAAAGGATACCCACAAGGCAGCGTTGATGTTGCCAGCTTTCATGTCACATTTGCAGACATCTTTGTAACACAGAGTTGGTCTGCCAATGGACCTGGTGCCTGAAGCCAGCTCCCTGTAGAGCATGTCCTACCATCTTCCGTTCTGTGGATGGCAAATGACAAAACAGCAGTGAACGTCACGGTTAAAGAAATAGGAATGTGTGGAAGCTCGCGAGCCAACCAATCACACACATGGAAAAGCTGAATCTGAAATATCTGCCTGAAATACAATAAAGCCTACATCTGGAAGCGAAGAATGTCAGTTCCAGAGAGGAGCCAAGGCAGAACCAATCTTTACCTATTGCTTTATTTGAGAATTCCACAGGGCTTAGACAAAGTCCAGTGGACTTTTCATTGCTTTGAGAACCTGGACTAAGGACTAAGTCATGCCAAATCTGGGGTCTGCTGTCCAGTTCGGTGCTTTACTTGTTAAGCGATCCTTGGGCATCACACACTGGCTTCTCTAGTCTAAAAGAGACACGACAGCCTGCAGCAAGAGGGTCCATTGAGCAGATCCTGCAGCTTCTGAAATCTTTCCATATGTGATAGCAGTCCTCTGGTACTCGAGTGAACCAGCAGGTGGCTCTGTGTGATCACTGAGGCTAGAAGCACATGCTGTTGACAGAAGCCAGACCCCCGAGCTATCATGCTCCAGTATTTGAATACATATTGCCTCACCCAATATCCACCCACTGGCCATTCTTCAAGTCAGCCCACATAATCTTGTTTCCAGTAAGCCACAGTTCAGCTGCACTGTGTAACAAAGCTTTCAGAACAGCAGCCACACAACTCGTGTGAGTGAGCCAAGCCCCATACTATGTGGGAAAGTACATTTCCCTCTGTGCTTTTCTAGTTCACCTGCCAATCTGCCCCTGGGAGAAACTACAGTGGTCCCTCAGGTTAAGAACTTAATTCGTTCTGGAGGTCCGTTCATAACCTGAAACTGTTCTTAACCTGAGATACCACTTTAGCTAATGGGGCCTCCCACTGCCGCCAAGCCACCACCATGCGATTTCTGTTCTCATCCTGAAGCAAAGTTATTAACCCGAGGTACTATTTCTGGGTTAGCGGAGTCTGTAACCTGAAGCGTCTGTAACCCGAGGTACCACTGTATTTTCTAACCCCCAAATGGCAATCAGTCATGCTGGGAGGTTGAAGAAAACAACTCAATAACAGTGGTTGTGTCACACCATACGTTGAAAGCACATGGCTTTCCCCAAAGAATTCTGGGAACTGTAGTTTGTTAAGGATGCTGGGAAGTGTAGCTTCTGAGGGGGTAAACTACAGTTCTTGGAATTCTTGGGGTGGAGGGAGTCATGTGCTTGTAAACAGAGGGGAGAATGTTCTCAGATGTCCCCTCTAAAGAGCCTGTGGGAAAGCAAAATGTTGTGGTAGAAGTAGGATTATGTGAACATTAATTTTGCCCACCCAATATCAGGTCCATTTCTTGGTATATTTAGGAACCTAGAAGAGCCTGTTGGATCAGGCCAGGGGCCCGTCTGGTCCAGATTCTCCCAGCGATCAGCCAGATGCCTGTGGGAAACCTGCAAGCAGGATTCAAGCGCAAGAGCCCTCTCTCCTCCTGTGGTTTCCAGTCCTGCCCTCTGTCCCATCCTTTATCCCACCAGCCCCAGTAGCAGCAGCTGCCACTGTATAATAATATACAGCATACTGCTGATGAGCTCAGGGTTATGCAAGCTATGTAGCCCGAACAGGTCTACTGAGAACCCCAAGGTTTGTAGACACTGAAAAATATTTACAAAGAACACCTAAGAGGCCCCCTCCAAAAAAGAAAGAAAGAAAGAAAACTCAGTTCAATTAAGGTTTCACTTGTGGCTTATAGAGTCCTGAGAGCTCTATTTGCATTCATGGGTTGAAAGCAAGGCTGACGTTCTAGTGAGCGATTAAAAGAGCAACTGTTTGCAGTATGATCTGTGCATCGGGGAGAGATGCTCTCCTGAAACTTCTGTGAACTTCTGAGTATTGCTCAGCTGGAAGGTCTATGCTTCATTAGGGCGTGTAGAATTTTCCAGCTTTCAAATTCCAAAAATAACTTGGGAACTCAAAAGATGTTTTGCTTAAATCAATATAATTTATTTTTGCTTGGTAAGTAAGATGTGTGAAAAATTGCACAGAAGCCTTTAAAAAAAAAGATGGCCAAGTACTTGCAGATATGTTATATATTATTATTATTATTAGTAGTATTCAATAGTATTATAATATTATTAAGCATTACCTGACATTTTCAGAAGGCAGGCTTAAAATTATTTAGTTTTCAGAAAGCAGTTTATGTGCTTATTCATCAGACGTAGACTTACCAAGCTGCAAGTTGTCCAGTCACATCAATAATAGCAGATTCGTATTTCTCACACCCCAAACCATATTTTTAAGACCGCTCGCTGAAGAAATTTGCAAAAATTAAGTTTCACCCCCTAAAACCAGGGAAAGGGCCTTCTTGGTAGTGGCACCTGCCCTGTGGAACAACTTGCTATCAGATGTTAAGGAAATAAACAACTACCTGACTTTTAGAAAACATCTGAAGGCAGCTCTGTTTAGGAAGGTTTTTAATGTTTGATAATAATAATAATAATAATAATAATAATAATAATACATTTTATTTATATCCCGCTCTCCCCAGCCTTAGCCGGGCTCAGGGCGGCTAACAACAATAAACAGTACAAAAAGTTCCGCATAAACAACACTCTAAAATCATTCATTCTAAAATTAATTAATTCAAGCCACTGGCAGCCATTGGGCCAGAGCTCTGCGAAGATTGCCAAAGAAGGGAGTCAGGCTGTGCTTTTAATATTCTATTGGGAGCCGCCCAGAGTGGCTGGGGAAACCCAATCAGATGGGCAGGGTATAAATAGATGATGATGATGATGATTTTTATTATTATTATTATTATTATTATTATTATCATCTAACATGCTTCATGGTCTCTTCTCTCTGGGTCTCTCTCTCCCCTCTCGCAGTGCTGCAAGCTGGTTAAAGCCCCCCACTGCTCTCAGGAAGAGCCACGCGCCACGCTACCTGCGCCCAGCCTATTGGCATAACAACAGGAGCAAGCTTCTCTTCCTGGGCAGCTACCTGTGCGTGAACATCATCCTCTTCACCTTTGCAGCCTTGAAGCATGTTGACTCTGGCCCCTGGATCATGTTGGCCAAAGGTTGCGGTCAGTGCCTGAACTTCAACTGTGCATTTATAGTGGTGAGTAACGCGATGTATTCATTATGTAGTGAATGTGTTAAGCGTACAGAAGTGGCCGTGGTGGGTCAGAGCAGAGATCCGGCGAAAAGACAGTGCAAGAACAAGTTAATTATCTCTGTTTGTATTCTATGCTGCTCCTCTAAGGCTAATAAAAACCCATGGCCTCCAATAAGTAACTCAGGTGGTGAGTACCAGCAAGATCTGAGCCACAGTAGGGCTACTGAGAAACAGGAAGGCTATATTGGCCATGCTGGGGAGAACCTCAAGGTTTACAAAAGTACAATAAGTCTTTAAAATATTTTTTTAACCCATTGAAGACTGAAGATACTCAATAAGTTGAGTGTTAGTTGGAAAAACAAAAAAAGAAAAGGTTTGGGAGTGCAATGGAGTGTCTTGGAGAAGGGCATGGCTGGCTCAGTCATCATGATACTCCATTCCATACCACCACCACCAGAACTGTGGAAAGGAGCACTTTGTTGCAGGCCCCCTTGTTGATTTCTGTCGTCAAATCTCGCCTGTTGCTGCTTAGGTGTGCTTTGAATGTTTGAAATAAATAGATTCGCCTAGTCCAGCATTCTGTGCCTGACAATGCCCAATTCACAAGCATCCTTGGCAGCCATCCTTGATTTTGTCCAGGCTCTGGAAGACGCTCATAGCCAAGAAGTAGAACACAAGCTTTGCATGCATAGATTCAATTCCCTGGCATCTTTAAATGGCTGGGAAAGCACATGGGCTTTGTTTTTCAGCCGGAACTCACCAGAACTTTCGTCACCTCTTTGGTATGTTGCATCACCTCTGTGATTAGGGACGCGGGTGGCGCTGTGGGTTAAACCACAGAGCCTACGGCTTGCCGATCAGAAAGTCGGCGGTTCGAATCCCCGTGACGGGGTGAGCTCCCATTGCTCGGTCCCTGCTCCTGCCAACCTAGCAGTTCGAAAGCACGTCAAAGTGCAAGTAGATAAATAGGTACCACTCTGGCGGGAAGGTAAACGGCATTTCCGTGCGCTGCTCTGGTTCGCCAGAAGCAGCTTAGTCATGCTGGCCACATGACCCAGAAGCTGTACGCCGGCTCCCTCGGCCAGTAAAGCGAGATGAGTGCTGCAACCCCAGAGTTGGTCACGACTGGACCTAATGGTCAGGGGTCCCTTTACCTATCACCTCTGAAGCTTTGCGGCACTTTGGCATAACACTCTGTGTTGCGCGATGGAGGCTGTATGCGGGGGTGGCACGGCAATTGGTGTGGCGTAGGGTGGCGGTAGTGTGGTGGGTGCTCCCCTAAAAGAAGCTCAACAAGTTCTGTCACCTCTTTTTCTAGAAAAAAAGCCCTGCTAGCAGTATCCCTGATTCTGCAAAGAGCCCCAACCAGTCAGGCTATACAGCTAGAACAGGCTTCCTCAACCTCGGCCCTCTAGATGTTTCAAGACTACAATTCCCATCATCCCTGACCACTGGTCCTGCTAGCTAGGGATCATGGCAGCTGTAGGCCAAAAACATCTGGAGGGCCAAAGTTGAGGAAGCCTGAGCTAGAAGGACTAAACTTTTGACTCAGTATAAATCCATTTCATATGCTTGTGGAGCACTGTCCTTTTAGAAGCATGCCTGGTGCAAACATGTGGCCCTTCAACTAACTTCTACAGCTATTTTCTCACCCCTTGAAGGTGCTAATGTTGCGCCGATGTTTGACCTGGTTACGGGCTACCTGGGTAGCCAGACTTCTGCCTCTAGACCAGAATGTCATTCTGCACCAGCTAATGGGCTATGCAGTGGCGGTTCTAACAGCGGTTCACACAGGGGCCCATGTGGCCAACTTTGGTAAGTAACAGTTTTCTAATTATTTATTTTAAATATTTTTATACAGCCTTTCAAACCTACCATGCCTCCTTTTAAGTAACAGGTAGGCCTGGGGCAGCGGGGGCGGCGGGGGCGGGGGGGGGCTCTGTGGACTTTCCACTTCCACCATAAGGACATAAGGGGAACAATAATTTTAGCCACCCGTGGGCTGTTCCTGTGTTTTCCCTATGGTGCTTGCATCTTTTTTTAGGCTACAGAAAAACTGACTTTTTTAAAAAGTCCAATAGCACAATCTCCACAGGTGAAAATGACTTAGCACTAATCTCTCCCCCCCCTTTTTAAAAAGGAGTGTGGTTTTTACATGTGCAGCAATGCCTATTGCCATGCATATCCACATAGGCAAACGTGAACTACTGCCTTTGCCCATGGTGTCATTTTATCAGCATGTTACTTTTCCCCCCTTAATCAGGATTTTAATTTGCGCTTAAACACCTATTTTTGAAAACTGAAATATTCACACGCAATAGTGCGTAAATCAGAAAGGTGTGGGTTTTTTTTTTTGCATAGATTAATGTATCATTGTGTGTTGTTTCTAAAGGCTGCCTGGTCTGGCATTTTTGGATGGTCCCATTTTATCATCTCGTTCGCCCACTCCAATCTTCCAAGTTGCTCTAAACTCTTTGAAACATCTGTTTAAAGTTTTTTAAGCAACTGTGCCATAGTATTTAAATAAAAATGTGCTTTAGTGCATATCTGGACAGTTGTTTAAAATTGAATTGTTTAAAGGTCTAAAGATAGATGCTCTGGTCCTTCTCCAACACCTTGCTCCTTGCTCACATGCCTTGATGTGGGCGGAACGGATCAGGATGTTCACAAACAAAAAGTGCTATCTGCTTGAAGAAAGTGTGTGCACTCCCTACATTCCCTGCCTACACAAACAGACATACTGTCTGCTCCAACATTCCAGGGGGTTATGGGAGTTGTAGTCCAACTCTCATCTGGATGATACAAGGTTAACGAAGGCTGTCTTAGAACTTCATGGTTCATATCACAATGATACAATATAATAATTTATTATTTATACCCCGCACATCTGGCTGGGCTTCCCCAGCCACTCTGGGTGGCTTCCAACAAAATATGAAAATACAGCAATGCATCAAACATTAAAAGCTTCCCTAAACAGGGCAGCCTTCAGATGTCTTCTAAAAGTCTGGTAGTTGTTGTTCTCTTTGACATCGGGTGGGAGGGTGTTCCACAGGCCAGGTGCCACTACCGAGAAGGCCCTCTGCCTGGTTCCCTGTAACTTGGCTTCTCGCAGTGAGGGAACCGCCAGAAGGCCCTCGGCACTGGACCTCAGTGTCTGGGTAGAATAATGGGGGTGGAGACGCTCCTTCAGATATACTGGACCGAGGCCGTTTAGGGCTTTAAAGGTCAGCACCAACACTTAATTGTGCTCGGAAATGTACAGAATGCCGTTATTGCGGTGCTAGTCTACTGCATGACTTGAATTCTCTTAGTGGAGGTCTTTATCTCTCCCCTGTAGTGAGAATGTCTCAGATCAAAGGCACTTATCAGCTTTGGGAATACCTCTTCACCACCCGGCCTGGGATTGGCTGGATTTATGGAACTGCCTCCCTCACGGGCCTCATGCTGCAGCTCCTCATCGCCCTTATGCTGGTGTGCTCTAGTACTTTCGTCCGCAAGGGTGGCCATTTTGAGGTGATGTGCTTGACTCCCTCCTCCTTCCTGTTGCTTACGTCATTTGCCTTGCAAGTCAAGTAACTCCCAAGTGTCAGTGATCTCTTTTGAGCTTTGCTTATTTTAAATTATCGATGTGCTCCTCATCCCATTTTAACTTCGGGCTCATCCACATTTCCACTTGTCCAGTGGAAAATTCAATCCACAAAAAAAAAAACAACAAAAAAGATTGACATTTGAACTGATTCAGCGGGTTTTCCTGGGGGAAAGTGGTGGAGAAGTGTAGACAAGCCCTTAATCGTTCAAAACGCCTCCTTGCTCTCTTGAGTAAGTAAGTAAGTAAGACACTTTTCTTTGTCACCAGCAGGTCTTCTACTGGACTCACCTTTCTTACATCTTCATTTGGGCTTTGCTAATTGTCCACGGTCCTAATTTTTGGAAGTGGTTTGTGGTGCCTGGATTTCTTTTCCTCTTAGAGAAGATCTTCGGTGTCGCCATGTCACACGTTGGAGGACTGTACATAGTGGAAATCAACCTCTTGCCCTCAAAGGTTTGCTTCCCAAACAATGATGAATTAAAAGGGGAAATGTGTGAAAATACCTAATTTTCCGAAAAGAGTAGAAGTGGAAGTGAGGTGGCTTGAGCATCTGATTTGAATTCCCCAAGCTTACAAAGCATTCTGATTTGTTGCAGGGAGGTTATAGGATGTTGTGTCAATCCCAGAGTTTTCCATGCATTTTTAATCAATTTCCTTACCCCAGAAATTCATAGCACCCTTGAATTGCAGAGTTGGAATGGACTCCAAGGGTCATCTAGTCCAACCCTCTGCAAAGCAGGAATCACAGCTAAAGAATCCCTGACAGGTGGCCTCCACCCTCTGTTTAAAATCCTCAAATGAAGGAGAGTTCACCACCTTCCAAGGTAGTACATTCCACTGTCAAACAGCTGTTACCGTCCGAAAGTTATTTCCAAGGTTTAATCAGAATCTCATTTATGGTCAGGTTGTACCTTGCAGAGCAGGAGAAAACAAGCTCGCTCCATCTTTCATGTGAATGCCTGTTCAGATATTTGAAGAGGGCACTCATATCACCTCTCATCCTTCTCTCCTCCAGGCTAAACATGCCTAACTCCCTCAATTGTTCCTCATAATAACAATCATTCTGAATAGAATTATTCAGCGCCAAATCCACTGTAAGGCTGTATGCGTACCATACATTTTAAAGCACATGGCTTCTCCCAGAGAATCCTGGCAATGGCAGTTTACTCCTCACTGAGCTACCATTCCCAGCACCCTTTACAAACTACAGCTCCCAGGATTCTCTGAGGGGGAGTCATGCACTTGGAATGCATAGAACATGCGCAGCCTCATTGTGCAACCTGAATTTGCTGGCATGCAACAGAATCCCAACCCGCTGAATAGTGACCATCTGGAAGCCTCCTATGAGCTGGGCATTGTGCTTCCAGGTCATATGCAAACAAGATGTTGCCTTAGTGACCTCTTGCATTTCCCCTCTTCACATGTGCCCCATCTTGTTCTTTTTGATCCAGGTGACACATCTGGTGATCAAGAGACCTCCATTTTTCCACTACAAACCTGGTGACTACGTGTACCTGAATATCCCAGTCATAGCCAAGTATGAATGGCATCCATTCACCATCAGCAGTGCTCCGGAGCAACCAGGTAGATCCCAAGCCAGCTGGAAAGGGCATCAAACAGCACAAACCAACCTGGTGCCCTGCAGGTGTCGTGGGAACGGTTGCACTCAGGTGCTGCATGCTTGTTTCCCATTGAGGCACCTGATTGGCCACTGTGAGGACAAAGGATTGGACTAGATTGACCAACCAGCTTGATCCAGCAGCCAGGCTATTCTTGTGTTCTTCTTCTTATTAGTTATTGAATTTATATACTGCCCTATACCTGGGGGTCTCAGAGCGGTTCACAGAATAAAATCAAGATATAAAACCACACAATACCTAATAAAAATAAAAACAGCAACCCAGTACCCTTCCACACACACAAAACCCCCACATTTTTAAAGGGCATAGGATGTAAATCGGATCAACCAAGTGCCCAGTTGAAAAGGAATGTTTTTGCCTGGCGCCGAAAGGTGTATAATGAAGGCGCCAGGCGGACTTCCCTGGGGAGAGCATTCCACAGATGGGGAGCCACTGCAGAGAAGGCCCGTTCTCGTGTTGCCACCCTCCGGACCTCTCAAGGAGGCAGCACATGAAGGAGGCCCTCAGAAGATCATCTTAGGCTCATATGGAAAGAGGTGGTCCTTGAGGTATTGCGGTCCTGAGCCATTTAAGGCTTTATAGGTTAAAATCAGCACTTATGCAAAGTCCTCCTATCAGTCCCAACCAGCACTGCCAGAAGCTGTAGTCAAAAATATCTGGAGGGTATCAGGTTGGCGAAGGATGGCGTAAAGGGTGTAAAAACCTTGATATGTAATTCATCTGGTCCCACTGTCTGTCATGCCAGGAAGAAAGAGTCCCATGCTATTGTCCCAGAGCAGCAACTCAGGGCTGTACAGATCTACTGAAGCAACCCATATCAATGCTGCGATAGATCTCTCTTTGCAGAAATATTCATAAAGTCACTTCTCTCCCTAATCCCCTTCTTGTGCCCCAGGCTTGATATTCTCATTGGTTTGTATGTGCTATGAAATTAACATTGGTCCTGTTCCTCCTTTTTTCAAAATCAAGTTTGCAATATTCCAAAAGGCTTGCAAAGCTCAGATCAGGCTCAGGATGTTTCAGGTATAATCCCTTTCCTGGTGTCTCCAGCCCTACCCAAACCTTGACACCTCATCCTTGAGGCTGCTCTAAGTAAGTGGTGAGGTCCTGCCTCTTAATTTGGGAAAGGTGGCCTTGATCCGCTTCTTGCTATGAGGTGGGTTACCTCCTGGCTCCTGGCTCAGTTTAACGAGGACGGCTAAGGATGCTTGTATTCCACACTGGGTAACCTTCTGCTTTCTCTCCAAAGGGACCATCTGGCTGCATATACGGTCCCTGGGACAGTGGACCAACAGGCTATATGAATACTTCTGGAATCAACAGGAGTGTCATGACCACAGGTCCGAATGGTTGGACAGAAAGGCAAAGGCAAAGAAGAAAAACAGGTCCCAGAAATGGGTGCAGGTTTGCGATTAAAACAACAACAACTCAGTAACCATGATTGTGGGGTCCTCTACGGCATTTAAAAAATCTTAATGGGTTGATTCTAAGTTACGTAAATTCTTTGGCATTGCACTGGATGCACACAGTACTGGGAGATTATGGGGTAGGGGTAGAGGCAAAGCTGAGGCTCTGAGCACGCTTGGACATTCATTGCATAGAGAAATCATTTCCGTATGGAGCAAGGTCTTTTGTGTGGAGGGGGATTACAATTTGTGTGGGCAGAATACTGAGCACAATCCATCACTGACTCACCCAGCCCTTGTCAACTTGTGGACAGCAACACAGAGCTGAAGCAAGGCCAAGGCCAAGAAGGCCGCAGGTCAGATCCTGCAGCTCACCATGAACTTTTGTTCCAGAAATGTCTCTTTGGCTCCTCTGACCTGGACCAGCCTGTGGCCAGCAGTTCCGATGAGATGGTTGAGATCTTATCTTACATGCCCATCAGGCACCCCAGCTGGGAGACTGCGAGTGTCGGAGCAGCCAGCCAGTGCAAGGAGGGGAACACACAACCCAGAAGAGGAAAGGTCTGGCTTCTCCTGGCAAATATGTGTACATTCCATCCTTGATAGATCTGCCCCTCTCCCCCACAGAAAGGCATACTTCAGCTCTTGCTATATGGCAAGGAATCCAGAGGCTGTGCTGAAGGGTTTAGTTTCCTTCAGGAGTGAGGCTACAGGAGGCTTAGGTGCTTCCTTGAATCTTGACAAATGTGCAAGGAGAACAAAGCAGAAGCAAACAGACTCCTAAGACAGACATGAAAATTTTCACCAGTTCCCCTGTGCTTCCAGGCCAGCATCATATAGCACTAAACTCACAGCTCTATTCCTCTGTTTCTGAATGAAAAAAGTTCAGCTTCTTTCATCTCTCCTTGCAGAGTGCTGGTTTCAAACTTACAGGTAAATTGGCCTCTTAAGGAAACTTGCACAGTCATTAGGGAACACTGTGAACTGGCAGGGTATATTGGTGTGCTTTTTCTGTCTATATATATATATATATATAATTTGTTTCCTTATTCTTTGTTAAATAAAAAAAATTAAAAAGAGATAGGGAAAAATGAGAAAGCAAAAGAAACAATAATTTACAGTGCCATCCACCCTTAAATAGGGCTCTTTTTTCTAATGGGACATGGTGGACCTTTTGCTAACAAGAACATATTTGTTAACAGATTCCTGGCAGGCTTACTGAGAATCAGAGACTCTGTAACATCAAGGTAAGATCTGCTGCTGCTCTATGAAATGCCTTGAGCACCCACAAGCAGGCCAGGTTCTGTACAGAGTTTAGAAGCATCCCTTCCCCAGAGACATGGGGGGGGGGTGCAGGAGGGAGCAACCAGGTATCAGGAGAAAGCTCAGGTTGTATCAAGTAGCTGAGTACAGAAGTCAAATTTTGTAAGGTTTAATAAAGGGGCAGGCAGGCACTTGAAGAAAAAAGAGGTGGGAATGTGCCCTGGGAAGAGACAGAAGCATATTAGCACCTCCAACACCACAGTTTGTCTTAGCGTGTGTCAGGTGATGCTAAGCTAAATGTGTTAGTGGGCTTTGGGACAACGTTCCCCTCTTAAAAAGATGTCCCCTCACTTTTGATGCAGTTTAAATCTCTCTCTCTCTCTCTGAGTGAGAGGAAAGCAAAAGCTATGCTTGCCCTCCGTTCTGTCACGTAGCCAAATCTAAATAGGCTATATCTGGTGCTGCGGTGACATCATGTTTGTTACACAATCCCTGATGGGCTGGGATCATGCAGGGAAGAAGCACTTCCAAGAGAAAAGCTGGCAGCAAGACAGCAACCAACAGGAAAAGTGATGGCCGCAAAGAGGCGTCCCAGAAGGGAGGGACAGTGGCAATGGCAGGGGGAGTGAATCCCTAGGCAAGCCAGGCCCAAATGCAGGCCAGGGTTCTGAACTCCCACAGTTGTGAATTCTTCCTTATAACTATGAAGATTGTTCACTGAAAGCTTAGTTAACTCCTCTGTGGTCCCTGAGGACAAATCGTAACGTAACAAGCCAGATTCACCACGAACAGGATCAAATCAGTGTTGTGCCGTTATCTCCCTAGTGTTACATTGACGGTCCTTATGGGACTCCCACTCGAAGGATCTTCACATCAGAGCATGCCGTTCTGATAGGAGCAGGAATTGGGATTACACCCTTTGCCTCCATTTTGCAAAGCATCATGTTCAGGTTGGTCTGCTGCAGATTAGAATCAATTCTTTTGTCAAAGTTGCAGAACCTGCATTTCCCCCCCTTTCCAAAACTAGTTTTAGAATGTGCAATCTTTTATTTGATCAACATCTTCTGCAAGGGTGAGGAAACATTTTCAGTCTGAGAGCTATATTCTCGCATGGGTACCTCCTGAGGGTCAGGGCAAAAGCGGGTGTGTCTGTACCTTTGTACAGCAGACTAAATTCCAGCCACAAAAAAGCCAGAGGTCACCACAGATGATGCGTCTCTACAGTCTTCATCCAGGTAAGCAAGAAGGATTATCGCAGGTCAAGGACACATTCCAGCCTTCCCGAAACATTCAGGAAGTGTACCTCTGGGGAGGAAGTGTGGCTTACTGAGAATCTTCATGGACAAATAGAAAGATCTGCCTTTGGTTCTTGGAGGTCTGCATCCCACCCCAAACCCTCTCCTTTCCCAGCCTGAGGTTTCCCACCCCTGGTCTACTGTCAAAAAGGCAGTATGATTTGAATCCTTGTCTACTTCTTGTAAACCAATACACACAACTTTTAAAAAATCACCATTGAACTTTCCAAGTAATAAGCAACAGCCATTCCTGGTTGTATTTGTTAATGCCAGCTGCTAAGAAAGGCTGGCGATTCTCTGCTCACCTCAAAAGATACCCTATAATTTTTCTTTCTTTCTTTCTAGACACCGTATGCGAAAGCAAACTTCTTCTAGCCAGGAAAACATGAAACTCCTGAAGGTGAGGTGACGTCCTCAGCTGTGGCTTGGACGTTTGTGCAGAAAAGCATTTTTTGCTACGAAAAGAATGAACAGCAGTAGCAGTGAGTAAAACCTTCTTGCCTTTAGGTTGACTTTATCTGGATCAACAGAGACCAAAAATCATTTGAATGGTTTGTAAGCCTGCTGACCCAGCTGGAAATCAATCAGGCTGAAGAAGACCCTAGCAGTAGGTGACCAATTTTTGTCCTTGTCTTTCTTTAACCGTGACCCAAACTGAACACCATCCTCAAGAGGATGAACCAGAATGATAGGAAAACTGGACTGAATTCACACATGAACCATTCTACCCCCCCCCCCAGACCCTTTATCTCTCCCTCCCTCCCTCCCTCCCTCCCTCCCTCCCTCTCTCTCTCTCTCTCTCTCTCTCTCTCTCTCTCTCTCTCACACACACACACACACACACACACACACACCTTCTCTTAGTGGGGTGCTAGAAAACCTGAACTGGCTCAAAACACAGAATTTCTCCATTCTAACATCCAGGCTTTTCCTTATTGAAATTAATGTAAAAAAACAAACAAACCACACATGCAAAATACCATGTTTCAGTTGACCTCTCAATATGATTTCAAAGAAATGTGTGATGGATCATTGGGGGGGGGGCTGTGCAAGGTATGCCCACTGCCTTGTCACCACCAATGCTCCTGGCAGCCGTGCCACCAGCATGTTCAGCATGCATGAGAAGGTGGCGCTCTGTGTGTGTACCAATGTACCAGCACAGAACGTCTCCACATGCGGTAAGATCCTGGGCCAACCAGAGTGGTGCATGCTCTAGTTATCTCCTGCTTGGACTACTGCAATGCATTCTATGTGGGTCTACCTTTGAAGGTGACCCAGAAACAACAGTTAATCTGGAATGCGGCAGCTAGACTGGTGACTGGGAGCGGCTGCCGAGATCATATAACATTGGTCCTGAAAAACCTTCATTGGCTCCCAGTACGTTTCCGAGCACAATTCAAAGTGTTGGTGCTGACCTTTAAAGCCCTAAACGGCCTCAGCCCAGTATACCCAAAGGAGCATCTCCACCCTCATGGTTCAGCCCGGACACTGAGGTCCAGCTCCGAGGGCCTTCTGGCAGTTCCTCACTGCAAGAATTAAGGCTACAGGGAACCAGGCAAAGGGCCTTCTCGGTTGTGGTGCCCACCCTGTGGAATGCCCTCCCACCAGATGTCAAGGAAATTAAACAACTACCTGACTTTTAGAAGGCATCTGAAGGTAGCCCTGTTTAGGGAAGTTTTTAATGTTTGATGTTTTATCGTGTTTTAAATATTCTGTTGGAAGCTGCCCAGGGTGGCTGGGGAAACCCAGCCAGATGGGTGGGGTATATTATTATTATTATTATTATTATTATTATTATTATTACTACTACTACTACTACTACTACCAGGACCTCGCCCACCTCTTATGTGGAGGAGGTTTATGCACATATATGTTGCCATGCCTGTGTAGAGCCACATCTCATGAGAGCCAAAGATGGGAAGGGGCTATAGCTCAGTAGAAGAGCCCCTGCTTTGCAGTCCCCTGGTGGCATCTCCAGGTAGGGCTGGGAGAGGTTTCCTGAAGCCCTGGAGAGCCACTGCTGCCAGTCAGTGTAGACAATACTGAGCTAGATGGACCCAAGGCTCTCAGGCCATATAAAGCAGTTTCCTCTGTTCCTATGTAGCTGGTGGTTGAGGTGAGGGTCACAAACCCCTGAACCCCCAACCCCCCACTTCAGATATCTTTCCATGTTCCTTCTGATGTGCAGACCGCTTCTTGGAGATGCACTTGTACATGACCTCTGCGCTTGGCAAGAATGACATGAAGGCTATCGGCCTGCAGATGGCGCTAGATCTCCTAGCCAAAAAGGAGAAGAAAGACTCCATCACGGGCCTCAAGACAAGAACCCAGCCGGGGCGCCCAGATTGGAACAAGGTAGACGTCACAAAGCTACTTTTAACATAATTTACAACAGCTTCCTCCCTCCCCCCAAAAAAAACACCCCGGTGCCCCATGTACATATTTGAGCTGCAGCTCCCACCAGTCCCTAACACCAAAAAACAGCTGAATGGGACCAGGGCTGGGAAGACCGATTCCCAAGCATCCTTGTGGCTATGGTGTGAGCTGGTTTTTAAGAACAGATTCTAGGTCAGTATTTCAGCCTGCTCAGTGGGTTCCCTTGGGCCAGGCAGCCTCAGCCTAACTGACCCCACAGAGCTTGTTATGAAAATAAAATAGGTGTGGGTAGAACCTTTGGAGGAAGGGCAGAATAAAAATGCATTTTTTTAATTTAAAAAATGCATTTGAGGTGTATCAGGGGAGCCCAAAGGCGAGGGCTAGCACCTTCTTCTGAATCTTGAAAAGAGAGTTGTTAGATTTCTGTCTTGCATCTCTTCCCGGTACCCCCAGCTCTTTCAGAAACTAGCGAAAGAAAACAAAGGGAAGGTCCATGTCTTCTTCTGCGGCTCTCCAGCTCTTGCCAAAGTCATCAAAGCTCATTGCGAGCAGTTCAACTTCCAGTTCTTCAAGGAGCACTTTTGAGCAGCATCCCTGGGCCATCCTGGACTGAGATGTTAAGGCTGCAAGTTATGCGTGAGTTAAGTAGGCAATTTGATTTGTGGAAGAAAACATTTGTGGAATAGTTCACCAAGACCCCAGCCATTTTCAAGTCATTTTCAAGTCCTTAGAAATGCTTTTGATAACTGCTGTCCTAGGGACACTTTGCGAATCAACCCTTCCTCTGTGTTTGAATGGGCCAAACTACACATTGTGGTTAATCATGTAGTTTGCCATTGAATAAAAAGACCATTCTTTCCGAAATAGCCAGCGTGAAAGGCAGTTGTCTGGATTGGGAGGGAGGTCCGCATGGGGAGGGGGCTTGAACACTTTGTTCCCTGCTGTGGTCCCAATCTGGATCCCTACACACACACACACACACACACACCCTGGGTGTTCTGGCCCTTTCTCTTCTCTCTTGCAACTGTATGCAAGAAGGAGGAGAAGGGAACGTCTCCTGCAGAGTCACCATTGCAATGGGAAAGGACAGTGGGGAAAGCTCAGCTGAGCAGACTCCTTCGGGGCAGAAGAACATGTTCAGTTCAGGGTGAGGAAGAGCAGTTGGGCTGGCTCGGGATGCTTTTGCCAGCTGCCTAGCACAACCCGCCCCAGAATTCCTTGCAGTGCCACAGAAGACACTCCCAGCTCACACATACATGCTTGGCTCATTTGAGCCCCCCCCCCCAATATTGCCACTCTAAGGCCCTGCTCTCTGTGTCTCAAAATCTGCTTTGTGATGCCTGCAGGGCCAGCAGCACATCAAGCACATTTTACCCATTTCTTGAGCAGATTTTGAGAAGCCCCTGCCCCCTGCTTTCCTGGAGTAGGCTGCATTTCCACCACCGGCAAAGAGTAGTCGAGAAGAGATCCATCAACTTGGTGCCACATGCTCCCTATTTCCTATCCTTTCCTGGGAGAGAAAATATCCCCCTTCCTTCTTCCAGGAAGCGCTCCTCCAAGGGGCAGGCGATGATTCCAGCTGCTACCTGCTATCCCAGGCAGGCTTGGACTGGCAAAAGGAATGAAGAAATGCCAGGGGAGGAGGAGGAGGAGGGCAGTGTCTGTTTGTTGAGGCCTGGAAAACAGGAGCTGCCTAGGGGCGAGCCAGGACAACCTTTCTTCTTCCTCCTCCTCCTCCTCTACCAGTGTTTGACAGACATAGCTGCCCTCATTTTAAGTTAATAAACAAGAGATTCTTGCTCAGTGAGTGTAATCCTTGTAATAAACAAAAATCTGCCCTTATTCCCTATGGGGAACACAAGAGCCCTTACAGAGTCCTTTGTAGGTTCTCCATCGGTTGGAGAAAATAACAGAGGCCAGCCAGAGTATATGGAGAAGCAAAGCAGCTCATAAGCCTGATCTTTATTGAGCTGTTGCAACAGGGTGCCCCCTTCACCCGCAGGAGAAAGGAGGACCCAGAACAAAGGTGTGCCTGCCCTTATATAGACATTTTAAATTGCCTGCCCTGGAGTCCAAGACCACCCCCAGATACATCATACCTACATCACAGAAAGGGCAGTCTACAACAGAAATCTGGGTGTGTTGCTTGTCTCCTGTCTGGCAGACCTGTTAATGGTCACTTGATTGGATACCCTGGGGAGCCTGGCTAGTCTTTTGTAATGACAAATACTTAGTTCCTGATCCAGGTCACAGGCTCACCCTATTCATACACAGACATACCCTTAAGACAGGATTTGTGAATGAAAAGAAAATGGGGAGCCTTTTCCATTTCCTTTGACCTTGCAGAGAAATATTTGAGGTCAATTTGGGAGTCAAAATGGTTTCAGGGCTGTTTTCCTGTGCTGCTTCCGACATGTGGTTTATATATTTATGTACGTGTTTGCTTGGTACATTTATGAACATTTATTATACAAGACCTTAAATTTTTTTATTTCATCCTGAAACCACTGTCTTGTGTGGGCTTGGCTGGTAATGGTACCCCCCACCACCCAAGCTGCTTTCTGGGCAGGTTAGCTTCACATTTCTCTACCACCACCCAAAGACAATTTCATGTTTCCAGCTTATCTGCTTCTATTTGCCCAGCGCTGGCATCACATACTGGGTAAGACACTGGGAGGCAAATCAGGAAAGTGCCTGGTTCAAGTCTTTCCTTAGCTGTGACAGCACCAAGTGGCCTGGGCTAAACCACCCCTCCCACCTTGCAGCCTCAGCCTTCCTTTCTGTAATACAGGGGAAATAGAGATGGACAGCAAGTGATGGAAGCAAGGTATTGGATGTGAAACGCTTTGAACATTTGAAAGTGCCATATAAATGCAAAATACTTTTTAAATAGACTTTTTAAGCACAAATGCCTCCAAAAGTGGTTCGCAACCATTTAAAAATACAAATCCATGAATTCCAAAATATATTTAAAGTATTCAAAGTGCACATTACCAGCATAATGTACAATTAAAATTTACCAATCAGCCCCCCTCAAATTGAGGCTTTAAGACCTGTTTAAAATTAAATTATTTCTTCCCTGTGCCCCTTCCCACCTGCTCAAAATATAAAAAGTTCTAGGTGTGTTTTAGCCCCCCACATATTTAAGCCCACATCCTCCCTCTGCCAACATTAATTTTCTTCGCCACCAGAGGGAGCCAGCACCTCACCATCCAAAATATCCCTCCTTGAAAGAGAATACATGTGGCTCAATCAGCAGATGTATGAGTAATTGGGGAGATTTCGCTTCCAACCACTCACTTAATATAAAGTATACAATCCAGGGATTTTCACAGCTACTTTCACAGCATAAGAAGCAATTCTTCTGCAGAAGCAGACTGTGATTCCCCCCACCCCCCAAAAAAGCAGGGGATGCAGAAAAGTGCCTTATTCCAGGTCAGACAGTCCATAATGTCTGCCACTTTTACCTCTTCTTCCCATATTCCCATTGCAAGCAGCTGCCAGGGCTGGACTTTGATGGGTGCTGCTAGCACAAATCAGATTCCGTCCAGCTGTGCGAAACTTTCTAAGGAAATACCAACATCTCCTTTTGTGAGGCACAGAACAAAGCGGGGGCCTTCTCTGCTTTTGGTCAAGTTAGCCATCCTTGACCACAGTCTCTTCCGGCCAAGGGATCCATCCTGCCCTGCCTTCTTAGTTCAGAGGCCTCATATACCATGGCAGAAAAACCACAGGAACAGCTGCTTTCTGTGGGACATAGGAGTAGTCAGGGGGGCACCCCCCATCAACTAAATAAAGAAAATACTTAACTAAAAGTAGAAATTGTAGAAAGATTTTTCTGGACACTTGGGGTCAAAAGAAAGTACAGTTGTACCATGGAAGTCGAATGGAATCTGTTTGACTTCCAAAACCAAAGTGCGGCTTCTGATTGGCTGCAGGAAGTTCCTGCAGCCAATCAGAAGCCGTGGAAACCCCATCGGACGTTCCAAATAACGTTCACAAACCGGAACACTCACTTTCGGGTTTGCGGCGTCCGGGAGCCAAAACGTCCAAGTACCAAGGTGTTTGGGATCCAAGGTACAAGTGTAATTTAAAACAACTGTTGTTGAGACATTTCATTCTGAATCTGCTAGATAGAGCCAGACAGAGGATGCTGGCAGGTGGGTGTCCTGTCCCCTTCTAACATAAATCCCAGCTACGCCCATGGGGCTGGCAGTGGTTGTACTGTAATTAAATGTGTTAGATTAAATATCCCCTACCAAGAACCCTGTGACTCTGGTGGTAAAAAGAGGTTCAATGGCCCTGACAAACTTAACTTGGATGTCACAATCTCTTTGTTTGGGAGAATGGTCCTTTGCATCACCAAAGAGATGGTCAAGTACAAGTGATGTGTTGCCACAGAAACTGAATAGCTGGAGATTCTTCTGGAAGGGGAAGTATATTTTTCTTCTTCCCTCATTCCCCTTTCTGGAGGCGATGTCACCAAGACACCTCCTGTTTGCAGGGCGGTCTTGAAACTGGGCCTGAGAGAGACACAACAAGAGGCTTGACTTGCTCTTGATAAGAATCCTTGCTCGTCCCCCAAGAAACCTAATGGGAGCAGGATCCACTGGAGTGTTGACACTGTGAACCTTCCGTCCTGTGCTGAGATTGTATAAATGGGTATATAAACCCAATCACAGAAATCTGCATTTCTGTCCAGAGGTCTGTTGGGTCGTATGCAAAGCCTACCTCACCTGTGGCCTTGCTGGCTGCTAGCTGTGGGAGAGAGAGAAAAGGGGGAGCTTGCATTAGAATGCAAAACCCACAGACATTTTACATGAAAGATTTGTGATCAGAAACAGGATCCAGACCTCGCTGTTTCCATGCAGACTTCTCTGCAGGCTGTCTTTCATTGCAAAGAAAATAGTGGGCGGCTGGGCAAAGGGGGGGTGGAGGAGAGCTGGGCTAATCTTTGCTTTTTAAAAAATAATTAAATAAAAATAAAATGAAGGCATCCACCCACCATATTCAGGAGAGCAACTCAGTAACATGGGCACAGAAAGCAGGGGCTCGGGGACTCTGGCTTCTCTACTTTGGCTGAGGTTCTCTCTTTATTATCAATTGCCCACAAGGGACCGATTGCATCCCTACACAAATACTCCTGCTAAACCACATTTCCCGGCAGATTTATATGCCGTTTTTATGATGGGCCTGTGCAATATGCTGACTCCTCTGTTTGCAGGGAGGGGGCAGAAAATCATTCGGAGGAGACATTTATTTTATGGCAAAATCAGCCATGAGTAAAAAAAAGGGGGGGGTTGCATGGGTACATGTATATCGAATAAACTGAAAATGAAAAGCGTGCAAGGGGGAATGTGGTACAACCCGAACCTGCCCATCACGCTCCATTTGCCACACCAAGGGATAGATGACTTCTGCTAATGGGCACATCCTTGTTGGTTGGCAATGGCTCTGCTTGGCAGGGCCTCCTTGGAGTGGAACGAAGGTGGAATATCTACTGACAACCAGAGAGAGAGAGATGGGCTTTTTAAGAACATAAGGAAAGCCCTGCTAGATTGGTCCAAAGGCCCATTATTGTAACTCACTCTACATGGGGCTGCCCTTGAGACTGACCCAGAAACTCCAGCGGGTGCAGAATGCTGCGGCGAGACTCCTTATGGGGTCCTCGCTGCGGGATCACATTCACCCAGTGC